TATAATTTTAGCAATTATTATGCTAAAAGAGTTCGATTTTTAAAATTGAAAGCAAACGAAAGGGGTGAGATCTGAACTCACGACCTCGTCTGACCTATGACTCATCAGTCAACGGTTGAGCGCTTCGGGTTATTGCGCTTTAATTGAGACAAGCTGAGGGGTCGCTCGATCTACAAGAATATGGAATTATTTATGACACGTTACCTAGACTGTGCCAGATTTCACCCAGTCCGACTTGGTAATAATTCGCTTGGTTTCTAACTCGTTTTGACTAATAGCCAATGCTTATATCTTAACAAGATTTTCTATAAAGTAGCGGTGCCAATGCAAATAATGCGTAGCTACGAATCAAGGACAAGCCAGTGATAAAAAGCGTGTGTGTACAATAAAACAATACCGTGTTTTTAAGATGGTCGGCGAACGTGTAGATAAGTCTATAAAATGTAGGTAGGTAGGTAGGTAGTTACATCCAATTACTACCTCAAGGTAATGCACTGTGCTAACATCGTTTTTGTGTCGAAGCAATCACTTCGTGGGAACTGAGAACACGCTGCGTACGGTTGTACTAGCGCGTTGTTTATCGCGCATATTAATTGAAAAAAAAAAAACATGAGTCATACGTTTTGTTTACATCACATAACGTGACGCTTTGTATATGGTCGCGTTTTAGAAAATGTTATTGCGACCGCTAATTTCGTATTGGTAAGTTATGCAAACTCTTTGCATTGTTATTGTTATGATTACCGACGAGGCCTCCATATTTGATTATGTTAATAACTGTTGAATAATATAAAATACAAATGGCGTTGTATAGTGTTTACAAAAAAATATGATACATTATGTATCCAAAAATATTTGCTATATTCAACAAACACGAAACGAGGGCGTTTCTGGCTAAATCCTGAATTATTCATAGCTTCTACTGACGGGATATTTATTAAGTATATTATCCTAGATCTGTCAATATTGTAAGGAATAATTTATTAAGTTTACAGAACAAATCTGAGGATCACCTTAATCCATACGTGATTAACATCAGTTTAAAATGTAGCAAGGAAGTGATGTACCGCAAATAATTACCAAATATACCTAGTGTTCTTCGATTAATTTATTTATCGAGTTCACTTCCTTGATAACAGATAGCGTATCTGACAATAGAGTTGTTACTCATTAGCACTATTGGCAGTTATCATATTAGACAGTACGTTTTGCAACGCACCTCTAGTTGGCAGCCTGTTAAGGAGTACACAAGTAATCTGTCGGTGTCGTCTTCAGTCGACTGTTATGTGCCGTGCTGATAAACCAGTGTTTTTATTTTGTTCTAACAAAATAACAGTGTTCATACTCTACTAGTTCTGTGATGAATCAGTGAATTTATGGTTTTGTTAAGTGCTCTCCGAACGTGACAAGTAAATTTTTATGTTATTTTTTATGCGATAGGGTTCAAATTGACAATATAATATACGGAAATCATAGAATTAGTTAATTTAGACGTATAATTCTGATAAGGTAAGTAGTTAAGTACGCAAACAAACTCTTGCACATAAGCAAAGTAAGCCGATTAGGATGCAAATGCGCAGTGAATTAAATTAGGTTCAACAAAAAAAAAAATAGCACTTACCTATTGTACAAAACTCCACCAGGCTTTCAAAGTAGGGCGTTAACAAAGATACTGAAATATCCTTATCTTTGAAAATAAAGTAAATAAACCAAATGATAATTACCGTAAAATGTGAATCACAATGTTCTAAGAAGGTACCTGACTTACTTAGCTCACCCAGTGACTCATCGATGAATTGCTTGTGTTGTAAAAAGGACAATAGTAGTAATAGCGATTCTTTAAAAATATTACTTTGTTCATATACATATACTTTAATGAAAACGAGTAATTCGTGGTGTTTCTACAAAGTACGAAAATTCGAACCTCTAGAGGTAAAAAAGATTTGTACGAACACCTAAAAATAATAACTGGAATCTCAAGAAGAGTGACCAAGTTGTGTCCTACTATACACTATAAACCTTTTAATGGCATTAAGTTGCCAGCCACTTTGCTCTCTTTACCCCGATATAAATTAGCCTGTGTGTTATTCCACACGATTATGATCCATTTCGAGTGCCAATTTTCATCAAAATCCATCCAAGTAATATTTATGTGAAAGAGAAAGAAATATCGTCCTTCCATACTTACAAACTTTCGCGTTTATTATATTAATAGAATATAGTATTATATTAATGTTTAAAGTATATTATTACTACGATAGAGCATTCAAAAAACTGTACCCTTTAAAAAGTCATTTGAGCAGTTCTAAAACCTCATGTCTCCTGTAGACGATCTTGTGAAAACTGCACTAATTTAGGGGTTAATGACATTTCATAATTAAACAGATAGCAAATTTGATTGGGATTTAATTTGACCCGAACCGTGCTAGAGTGGTAGGCGGGAGAGCCATGCTTTGGCACGAATCGACAGGCTTGGCCGGAGTCTTACCACGAACTAAAAACTGGCGTGAAATAATTGTTGACTGTTGTTTCGTTATGTGAGTGCAGTTATCGAAGGCCTAACCCTCCTGAATTCCCAATTTTTCAATTTAACCTTAACCCCAAAAGGCCACCCAAGGTTCACTTACAATTCCTCAAGTATTGGTGTCTATGGGCGGCGCAGATTGCTTACCATCACGGTGATCTGTCTTCTCGCCGTAGGCCGAGCCTTTTGGAAATACCTGAGCAGTTACAAGTTTTTACATATCCACAAACGTGGCAGATTATTGAAAGAAAAGACTCCAGGGGATATACATAATTATAATTAATTTAGTACTTAATAATCCCTTATAGGTGTCTATTTTAGTTAGTGATGTGGGAAGGATTATGTCAATATCGACTATTAATCTTACTCTTAATGTTATATACTTACTATAGAGCTATTTATGGCTCGAATCACTACGCTCGGAGGCGTAGTCTTGACGTCATTGTTCTTCTATACCCTATTGTTATTTGCTTATAACAAACTGTATTTAGTATGATCTCAATTACTTTAATGACAATAATTATAATTATCCCATTAAAAATATTTTCATCCGATTTTCGGAAAAATACATTGATTTCAAACAAATCTGATTAGGATAACAACCAGTAGCCTACCGACATAAACAGTTCTAAGAAAATTCGGTAATCGTTGACCGATACGGCATTCCATGTGTTTAACAACAAGATTAGCTTATTTACTAGCGACACGACCCGGCTTCGCAGGAGCGCAACGCTGATACTAGATTTCTGCGCTATTTAATTGTTGTCATACATAAAACCTTCCTCTTTAACTATTCCATCTATAAAAAAACCGTACATAGGGATATAGGGACAGATAAAGCGGCTTTTGTTTTATACTATGTAGTGACTTAGCATCCTGAAAGAAATATTACAAGCAATAATCCATCGCGAATAATTAGAACTTCATATCTGTATAGTGTATTCCAATAAGATAAACGTTACACTAACCAAAGCGCAGTAAGGCGATAAGAAAGCTCACTTTAGCAATTTCATAATGATTGAATCGTGACTTTCACCAGTGTGTTGTTTAAATAAAAACTAAAGCAACAGGTCACGATACGCGACACCTCATTCTAACTTTCTATACTTTTTTAATTTAATAAAAACTCTTTGGCACATTTACTTATTCTGTTTTCCATTGGGCACGGCTGGGTGTGCCTCAGTGCTAATATAGGGCAAGTATAATTTACCAATGTAGGTAGACTCATGTCCGAATAGCATGCGAAAAGCTATCTACCTACTTCTATTTCGGCATCACATTTTATTAAAGAAACAATCCGCTATTTATTTCTGTGTTGTAGGTATATTATTTATGACCTAATTTCGACTGATATCTTCTAAGATTAGATATTGTAAATAATCTTTATCTACGGTACTGAAAGGTAATCAAAAGCAGCTTAATATTGTTTCATTAACACCTAATATTGAATGGTTGATATCGTTTAAATTACTCAAATTTTAAAGACTTATTACTCATTCATAAATTTTTCCTTGTTGAAATTTTATTATTCACAATTTCATTCATAACTTAGCTTCAAGCTGTGCGGTTTTGCGCACGTAATATCATAGATTTCCTTAGTATTCTAGTATTCTAGAGAAGATATTTTTATAGTTTAGAGGTATGAGAGAACAGGGTGGAGATTTCCTCATCCTCCATTGAAAAGGGAGGATCCTCCGACCAGACGGGTGTAGTGCCTGGCGGGCTACTGCCCGACTGTTGTTGGGATCTTTGTATAGGTTTTAATTGCGATGAGAACTCTTATACCGCGATGTAGAATCTTGCACGTGATTTGTGCTGTTGTTATTGTTGTGCGATAGATGTCGCTACAATAGGACTCATTGGGATAACAGAGGTACATAAGTTCTGTTAAAGTTTGGTACCCGAATGCTTACATATTACGAACAATCAAACCTTTTCATCTTTATAATATACTAGCGACTCCTCCTGACTTCGCACTGGTGCATACATAGATGCTGATACAGAATAATACAGATTTTTCAACTATTTGATGGATGTTATTAAACATATAAACCTTGCTCTTCAATAAGTCTATCTATCTATTAAAACACTGCATCAAAATCCGTTGCGTAGTTTTAAAGATTTAAGCATATAGGGACAGAGAAAGCGACTTTGTTTTATACTATGTATTGATAATATTAAGTATACTTGCTGAAAAGGAATTTATACGTCAATAGCAGGAACCAAACACTTAAGATTAAATGTAGGGGTTTTAAATTGAAAGTGTATAATGAATAGATAGGCACTATCTGATATCAGCACTGTTCTTACTTTCATTAGGTTCACAGCGTGCAGACTTAAACACGTAAACGTACCTCACACAAACCTCTGCATTAGATTTCCAACCTTATTGTTTTGAAATAATGTCCAAAATTAATAAGACATACACTTAAAAAGTGGTCTATGACTTATTATGTGAATGAATTATCTATTTCAGTTCCTGTCGTACTTGCAAGCGTGTTGCACCTATTACCACCAAGGTGCCGACTTGTCTGAAGATTTGGAGCCATTTCTTAAGACCACAGCAGAAGATGTAAGTTCTTTTTTATATTTATTTATTAATCAAAGCTATAGCTATATGGCGTATGGGTTACTGTTGCTTAAAGTATTATCGTTATTAGAGAAAAGTGTACAAGTGTTAGGTTAGTGCCTAAGGTTCCATTCGGTTAATCGTCTCTTAGAGTCAGGGAACATATGTAGATCTTTATAAATGCTTAGAAATAGCTAAATATTGGTGTTGTATGTCCCTGAGTATCTACCCTTATCAGTAGCCAGGCCTGTAGCGTTCAAAAAGTTATGATTTAAAATACCAATATTTAGCTATGCCTGATTAAGAATTTACATCACATCACCAGCCTATAAGTGTCCACTGCTGAGCAAAGGCCTCTTCTCACACGGAGAAGGTTTGAGCATTAATCACCAAAGCTTGCTCAAGGTGGATATAAAACTTATAACTAAATATTATAAGCCCAGGTTTCCTCCCGATGTTTACCTTCACCGTATGTCAGTGGTCTCTAAATAATCATAGAAAGTACATATAACTCGGAAAAGTTACATTGGTACTCGCCAGGTTTCAAACCCTTATCCTCATGCAAACGGGTGCCTTAAAGGCTTAATAGTGTCAATTTACCACATATGGTATGTTAATAGACTATTATTATGGACTACACAACAAATAAGTTAAAGAAATAACCTGAATTAACCGTGATATACAAAGTGGGTGCAACAGCGTCAAATCACGTCACGTTCGTTACAAGAAGTATTCAATCATACTTACGAGTATTCAACACTAATGATCACATTTCCAGATTGCAGCTATGCGTAACGACACAAAAATACTCGACAAAGAGATGGAGAACCGCCATACGATAGTAAACAGTAAGGACACGGTACTACCCAGCTGTAAGACCAGTGAAGCGGAAGGAGATTGCAAAGATGGCCTATTGAGTACGCCATGTCTCAAAAACCTACCTCGAATGCAAGGATATCTCTTCAAAAGGACATCGAATGCCTTCAAGACATGGAATAGGAGATGGTTCTATCTATACGACAATCGTCTAGTGTATAGGTGAGTGATAAGTTTTTTATTTAGTAACTAGCGACTCGCCCCGTATTCGCACGGGTGCAACTCTGATACTAAACTTCTACGCTATTTAATAGATGCTATTATACATATTATGGCCAAGCATTTTGCCACTGGTGGTAAGTGATGATGCTATTTACATTGGAGCACGCCTAAACAAATGTTTCACTTGGCCCTTGAAGACTCCCAAATCACGCCCCTCGGGCAACAAACTACAGCAAAGAATTCCACTGATAATAATAACTGGAAGCGAACCGTGACTTCACCATGAAGTGATGAGATTTTGCCGATTGTCTGGTGGAACGATAGTATAAAGGATTAAGGGGAATTAAGTAGTGCAGCTCCCCCGAACATAAAAAACCGAAAGGCTTGCAACTTAGTGCCTGTGTTTGCTTGTTTGTGGTTGCCGATTCTACAATTGTTATGTAGGCCAGTGACGTCATACGCTAGTCGGTACTTATTCTCTATTGGTATTGTTTATTACTTCGATTAGGTAGATCGGTCCGATTAGATTAGTCTTGTTAGTATAAAATTATTTCAATTGCATTGCTTCGCGCAATTGCGTAGTAAAATAATTATTTTTGTACCTAGGAAAGGTACAAAAATAGGTATTCAGTACAATTAATTATTAAAATATAATCATACTTTCATTAATAGATTTGAATATTTACTTGAATTTTAGATGCGCAATTAATTGTTCTCCTTTTTTAATTTAGGAAAAGGACAGGGGAGTTGAATGTGACAGTAATGGAGGAAGACTTGAGACTGTGCACTGTGAAGCCTGTTCTAGATGGCGAGCGCCGGTACTGTTTCGAAGTGTTGTCACCATCAAAGTGAGTATAACTACGTTAGCTAGTTTCTTGTTCGGGTTTTTGTTTAGTTTAATTTATTTGAACATTCATATTGTTTATTGCACTCCATAACGTACATAAAGTGGAAAAGTGACCTCAGCCGGGTTTGCGGGTTAAGCGCAATGATAGTTACCGCGGCCTCGGCCCTGAGCAGATTAAGGAACGGAGGGTTTTTAGTCAGTAAGAGTCTGACACTCTCTCTCGCCTTACGCTGGGCGAGAGAAATAATTTTCACCTTTATCTTGGTTCCCACTTCGAGTACGCGTTTTTCGATTACTATTGACTGATATAATTCGTAATTCGTAGAGATTGTACTTGGCACTTAAAATTGGGGAAAATTCTAGTTTGGGGCAACATTTTAGTCTTTGTTGAGCAGTTAACGTTTCCCGGGTGATCATAGGGTTGATTTGCTACATATTTAACGAATACTAATTTCTAGGAGCCACATGCTTCAAGCGGATTCAGAAGAAATGCTCAACTGTTGGATAACGGCACTACAGAACGGAATTAGGTCTGCCATACAACAAGGACAAAGCCGAGAGAACCCCGACACACAGCTCATACTAGTGCCAGACGACAGACCCTCAGAGAACAGGCACAGCGTCGCTAACGTTAGGGGTATGAAGAAAATCAGGTAAATAAAAAAGATTTTCGTTTGATTCCTTTGAAAAGAATTAAGTGTGGGAGGGCCATGCTTCGGCACGAATGGGTCGGCTCGACCGGAGTGATACCACGGCCTCACAGAAAACCGGCGTGAAACAACCACAGCGTTGTGTTTCGCCGTGTGAGTGAGGTTACCGGAGGCCCAATCCTTCCCCACCCCCAATCCCTCCTCAATCCCTAAAACTCCAAATCCCTAATCCCTAAAAGGTCAGCAACGCACTCGTAACTCCTCCGTTGCGGGTGTCCATGGGCGGCGCTGATTACTTACCATCAGGTAAAACGTCTGCTCGTTTGCCGATCTACTACATAAAAAAAAATGAAATGAAATTCCTGTTTTAAGTGATAGGACGGCGAACAGTCAGACAGATTACCTGATGGTAAGTAATCAGCGCCTCTTATGAACAACGGATGAGTTACGGGTACGATGCCGTCCATTTCGAGGTTAGGGTTTTGGATATTAAGGAATTGATGAGGAATGGGGTGAATGGAATTGGACCTCCGGTAACCTCAATCACACGGCGAAACACAACGCTATAGTTGTTTCATGCCGGTTTTCTGTAAGGCCGTGGTACCACTCCATTTTGTCTTTACTTGTACAGTGGCTAGAAGGTATTGTTGAGTATATTCTATATTTCAATCTAGCATAGTTTATTCGACTTTACACTTTTAAACAAAACAATTAAGTTCGAAAATGTAATTAAGTTTGACGGACATGTCACGGGCGAACTGCTAGCCACTGTACATTAAAATGGGTATGAAACAGCCCCAGTAGGTAATATTATTTTACCTACTGGGGCTTGCAATGGGGTTGTTTTTGCTGCCTACTAGATGGCGCCACTGACGTCTTAAGAATAAGTACTCACAAAATCATAAAAGTTGTTGTAATGATTTTAATCTTTGAATATAATGTTGGTGGTATAAAAAAATAACGAAAAATTATTTGATTTAGAAGAGATACGCGTTCCTTATGTTTGTTTTGAAATGTTATATTGAACTTTCAGTACTTACTTACTTATTTATTTGTATACCATTCTAGGATATGGGAGCAACTACTGAGTATTCCGGGAAATAACTACTGCTGTGACTGTGGCAGCCCTAACCCCCGATGGGCCAGTATCAATCTTGGTATCACACTCTGTATAGGTAAGAATGTCTTATGCTAGTTATGCGTCCAAGTTATAACTTTTATTTTCCAAGGTATAAAGTTCATTTTCTATCAAACTGTACTAATTTCTCAATTTTTAAACATGAAAGTGTCATAGCATTTGTTACTTTTTGCGTTCATTTTCTATTATAAAAATAAATTAAGTGTGCGAGGTCTATATTATATTTTTGCAATGAGGAATACGGTAGTTTCCAACTAGTCAAGTTCAATACTTTTATCCAAATGTCAAAAAGTATATTTCTATGAATTTTACATGAAACGCTGAGTTATGACGTCATTGTTTTTGGACGTCAAATAGCTTACTTATTTTTTTTTAAAATAGTTGGTAAATATGTAAAATTTATTGTATCGATCGATCGATAAATAAAAGGAATATTATTTTTCAATATTTTATTGTATTGAAACGTCGAATTAATTTATTTTTAACCTAGGAAACTACTTCATTGTGTAACTAATTGTTCCAGAATGTTCCGGCATTCATCGTTCGCTTGGAGTGCACGTTAGTAAAGTAAGATCCCTAACTCTGGATGACTGGGAACCTGAAATAATCAAGGTAATTATTATGTTTGTGCTTTTAAATGAAAAATATTAAACCATGTATAACACATAAGCGGTCGAATACAGAAACTCTCTGCTTTATGGAAGTCGGTAAAAAAATTGTCCTTGATTTAGTATCAATTTTTTATGAAATATGGCGGCAACGAGAGTTTCGATCACCTGATCCATAGAGACTCGGAACAACAATTTGTGGATCACACAAAGAGTTGTTCCGTGCGGGAATCGAACCCGCGACACGTTGCACGGCATCCAGTTGCCCAGCCACCGCACCAATCGTGCAGTCAAATTATTCATAAGAACATATTCATAAATTAGATAACAAAGACTGAAGTAAACGGAACGACAACACACAACATACGAATTGTTGTTCCGGGTCTGGGTGTCATGTGTAGGTATGTGAAATTGTATGTTTGTAACCGCACCCACGACACAGGCGAAAATCCAAGTGTGGAGCATGGTATTAAAAAAAATGAATTATGTTCCAGGTAATGGCAGAACTTGGTAACAAAATTGTGAATATGATCTACGAAGCTAACGCTGAAGGAACAACAATACAAAGAGCTACACCGGACTGTGAAACGTAAGTGATGTGTAATAAGTTACATATTTCTGTGTTACTCTTAACCAAAGTACCAGGAGCTTTTTTATGCATTCGCAACACCAGAGGAGGTCTGCAAAAATGCACTTAAATTGTATACTCAACATCGCCCGTAAAAGTTAAAATTAATTCTAAGTATATTAGTGTAAATTGACTTCGTTCTGTTTAACAAAAAATTAATAAAAATGTGTGTGCAGGAATGTGCGAGAAACTTGGATCCGGTCGAAGTACGTCTCGCTGTTGTTTGTCAAAGACTTGGTGGGCGGCGGGGCGCTCGCCGCGGCGGACAGCCCGCTCCGGGCCGGACGACGGTGGTCTGTAAGACGCGCCCGTCGCAGGTAACTATAATATAGTATTATACTAACAAAGGAAGAAGGAAATAAAATAATTGATTTAGCACTCAGACACACACGAGGTTTCCGAAAGGCCGATGTTAAAATCAATTTAATCTCTTGGGTTGACTATCAACAACTAATCAGATGACTTGACAAGAGATTTAACAGGAGATTATGTAATTTTAGCGTTGATAAGCTTTTCAGAAACCGGGTGTAAGTGCAGAAAACCACATATTAAACAAAACGTTAATCATTTTTTATTATGTTTTTGGCTTCGAGAGCTGACTCGACTAGTTTCAAGCCATGCTAGAGGCCCATATTCATGAGCAGCATTCCGCTTGAAACTAGTCGAGTATCTCGTCAAATTATTACGTGAGTAAGCCGAAAACATAATAAATAATGTAGAATGTCTCACGAAAGTTATAATAAAAATGTTAATCAATTAACAACAAAACGAAAAGTTATTTAGTTAGTTATTTAGATGTCTGCAAATACAATTTATGAAGGGAATAATTTATGTTATACACCGCCCGATATATGATATGAAGCACATATGGAAAGTTTACTACTAAAAAGACTCCAAGGAAACTTTTTATCTTCTATGTAAAATGGTTATTTAGGCGAGGGTATTAAGTAGCCGATGACGGTCGGACACCAACATTACACACTTGTGCCATAATGTACTATACCGCTATGTTTATAACAAAAAAATTTTAAAATGTAAACTTTATTTGATTACAAATCATGTTCATATGTAAACTTTATTTAACACTTAGAACGCCATGTCGGGCAATAGTGTTCGACGCTAGCGGAGTTACCTTTAGGGTTAGCCTTCAACTGTTTTTGTCGGCAGTCAAATGCTTAACAAGACACAAGGTCCTTACAAAACATAAAACAGCTTATACATAGATCTGGTCATTCTGAAAAGGACTTAATTGTTAAAGCAGTAAAGTTTAAATTATTTTATCATTTATTTATAGAGTCCGTACTACTCCTTCAGTGCCAGAAACTATCAATGATGAAAAGAGCGATGCCAACAGTAGCACAAGTGGTAAGTATTGAAATTTAATCATAAACAAACTCTTTTATGTTAAAGACGCTTTTCGTATCCTGCCCTCAGATGTTTTGGGTACAAGCTCAAAATGTATTCGGCCGGCCTTTCTCTCTGCAGGAAAAGGTACAGGGTGGTTTTTAGTCAGTAAGGGTGCAGTTCCATTGAGGCAGAGCTGAGAAGAGCTCTCCGAAGAGAGAGAACCACATTCGAGATAGATCCACATTAGAGATGTGGATTTCAAGCCTTGTAATTGGGGAATCGCGGTATAGCTCTTATCCGCTTCGCCTCAATGGAACTGCACCCTAAGAGTCTGACACTCTCTCTTGCCCCACCAGGGGTGGAAGAAGTGATTTGATGAATAACACCTTAAAAAACGTTGCTTGGGTGCCTTGGGTGTTAACCTAAGGACTTCTGTCTTCTCTTTCTTAAGATTCTGACAGTGATCGGTGAAACTTTGTAATGCAACACCCCCTTCTCCTCCAAATAGCCTGTCGTAGAGCCCATATTAAATGTACCGTACTCCAGAATCTGAGCCACGAAAAATATTTTTTTACTAGTTTTTATCCGACTTCCAAAAAGGAGGATGGTTCTCAATTCGACCGTATCTATGCTTTTTTGCTAATCAAAATTAAGTTACTAAAAACTGCGTAAATCAACGCTTGCATATGTCCTGCTGGATTATTGGCGGCGCTAATCCTCCAAAAGCCATTGTCAACTCTCCCGTACATTGTATGTCAAAAGGCGCGAATTGCTTAATCTGTACGCCTTTTCCAACCTTTTTTTAATAAGAGTTGGAAAATCTTCACAAGCCATCCTCGTCTGAGCATGACGAGGTTGTCTGTCAGCACCTAGCTTCACTGACGAACAGACTACTATTCTATTTTTATATTTTCTGAAGTATCTATTTAAGTTGGAATAAATGATTTTGACTAAAATAAAATAAAAATCAACTCCATCCCCTTTACCTCATTCGTGGTAATTCGAGATACAATGGAAGAACAATAAGTGCGAAAACGTCAGCGTTCGCTTGGGGTTTCATGAATTAAAACAAATATAATAGAGTCTTGTTTTGTTGTATCGTCGTTGTGGTGTGGGTGGTTTTGAAACCTGAAAAGTAGCAATGTGACTTTTCCGAGCTACCGTACTTTCTATTATGATTATTAAGACACCACTGACATACGGTGAAGGAAAACATCGGGAGGAAACTTGGACTTATAATTTCTAATTATAAGTTTGAAATTGCCTTGAGCAAGCGTGGTGATTGTTCAAACCTTCTCCGTGTGAGAAGAGGGCTTTGCTCAACAGTGGGCACTTATGGGCTGATGAGGATGATGATGATGATGTTTTGTTGTAGTATCAGAAAGTTCAAGCAAGTCGGATGGCAGTCCAGTGTTGCTGATTGGAACGGAGCTGGTCAGTGACCGCGGCGTCGACCTTAGTCTGCCCTCTGATCATGATTCCACTGAAGGAGAGGACAGCGATGAACTAGGTCAGTTTTTGGTGTTAGCTTAGTTTATTAATGATTCTGTGCCTATGCTATGGCGGACTTGATCCCCGAGTCCATCATTAAATGCAATGTATTTGTTTCTGTTTGTGGGGCGTGTTATCCGATGTCTGTACAGTTGATGCGGTGGCTGGGCAACCGGCTGTCGCGCAGACGCAACGTATCGCGGTTTCGATTCCCGCACGGGAAAATTCTTTGTGATCTACAAATTGTGTGATGTAATACAGTAGAATATGCTAGTGTGAGACAAAGTTTTTTTTAATAACAAAAAATAAAAGTTGGTAAGCAATCGGCGCCGCCCATGATCACTCGGAACACCGGAGCTGGTCCAAGTGTACTGCCAGTCTTTCGAGAGGAAGGATTGGGTTTAGTAAGAAACCTACGTTTTGAAAAATCTCACGTAAGGAGGGGCAGGGGAGGGGAGAGTCTGAAATTTTACGTCAGGTAATTTATGAACGCCGACCAACAGGGAACTATAATAATAGTAGGTAGGCAATAAGTGTTTAATGCAATGATAGTAGTAAAATGGTGTAGATTGGCAACACATTAATGCACACAAGAATAAAGCGTTTGATACACGTTAAAGTGGGACGGCATGATAAAGTGTGGCTAATTAACCACATTTTAATGTATTGCTTGTAATCTATCTACACCTTTTTACTTATAATATCACTGAAATAATGGGGTATTGTTTGTCGGTACAGCGGCGGAGGAGATGTGTCGCCTGTCAGCGGACGCGGTGCTGTGGCAGGCTGCGCGTGCGCACAACGTGGGCGTGATGCGCGGCGCGCTCGCCGCCGCCGCAGACATACACGCGCGCGCCGCCAGGGGCCGCGCCCCGCTACACGCCGCCGTACTCAGCGTCAGTACACGACCCATTCATATACACTCACATTATTATATGTATGTCTTTACTAACGGGACCACAGGGTCCCGGTCATTTGGAAGGCGTACGAGGGGCCAGAGCCAACTGCACAGAGGCCCTTTAGACAACTTTGATCTAAATGAAATGGGACACAAACCGGCGACTATCCCTGTATGCACTATGGAAATGCACCCAAGGACAGTCCCTGGTATTATTATTATTACTTTTAATGTCATAGGACGACAAAGCAATTTGTTTGATGGTAAGCAATCAGCACCGCCGATGGATACCCGCAACAACAAAGTTACGCGTACGTTGCCGACCTTTTGTGGTTTCGGGATTGGGGGAGCGGAAAGGTTGGGCTTCCGGTAACCTCACACAAACGGCAAAATAAAACGCTGTGGTTGTTTCACGCCAATCTGCGTTTAAACTTTCTTCCATGGAAGAAAGGCCAAAGGAAATCATGGCCCAAATCTATACTTATATTAAAAAGTTTAAAAATTTGTAAGTTTGTTAATAGGTTTGTAATTTTGGAACCGCTAGTCGGATTTCCAAAATTGCACTGATTGATAGCTACAATGTTCTTGAGTAGTAAAGGTTATAAAACATCACCCTACGACCAATATGAGCTGAACAGCGGTTAAAACCTCGCGGCAGTGGCTAGTTTTTATATAAAAACAAAGAAAGATCTAAAAGAATATGACAAAACAATAGCCATAATTTACTATTCCAATCGACTAATTTGATTATAAGCCCCGGTCGTGGCTTGAAACTACTCAGAAATGAAATTTCGTATCACACTTGAAAGCTTTTGATAAAAATTTTTATTTATTACAGGGATCAGTAATGGCCTGTTCTTTCCTCCTTTTGAATGGTAGCAAGTTGAATATACAAGACGATGATGGGAAAACTCCACTACACCTTGCCACCGAAGCTGGGCATACGGGACAGGTAAGATTTTTTATGTTATAGCACGGCAGACGAGCATTCGGATAACCTGATGGTAAGCAATCAGCGCCGCCCATAGGCACTTTTAGTATCGAAGGAGTTACTACAAGTACGTCGCCGGTCTTTTGTGTGTTATTACTTGATTATCATCATGATCATCATCGGCCTACAAGTTGCCCACTGCTGAGCAAATGCCTCTTCTCACACGTAGAAGGTTTGAGCATTAATCACCATGCTTGCTCAATGCGGGTTGGTGATTTCAAACTTATAATTAGAATTTTTAAGTCCAAGTATCCTCGCGATGTTTACCTTCACCGTATGTCAGTGGTGTCTAAATAATCATAGTAAGTCCATAATATTACTCGGAAAAAGTCACATTGGTATTTGCCAGGTTTCGATGAACTTGATTAGCGCTTATCACTAATTCCGCAACCCCGCCACCTTATAGATCTATGGTCTGAAATAAATTTTAATTTAAAAAAAATCATTTTCTCGTGGACAGTACCTACTATCTCACAGGTTTCAGTAACTGAGATACTATTTTTTTTCATACATTGCCCACGGACAAAGTGTAATATAACGCACTACACTCTCCCACAGATGTAGTGTCACACAATTTTCTATAAATAATGCAGTAACAGTACGAGAGTCGTAATTATACCTGTGGTTACAGTACAATATGCCCCAGTATTCTTTATGTTTGTATGAAAAATTGGTCGTCGTGTGGCATTCTTTAAGGGAACAGAGAGTATAGTTCCCAAATATCAAAAAAGAGGATCCTTCGACCAGGCGAGGTGATCATGCCTGGAGCTACTACTGCCCGACTGTTGTTGGTACTTTGATAATTTGATGTATGATCTTGAACGTGATTGGTGCTGTTGCTGCATGTTGTGCGATAGATGTCGCTATATGTATACTGATTTTATGCAAGTAAAAATTAATACGGCGACAGGCGTATTGTCGTATCATTTTCAGCTTACTAGACGCCTATGGCCGCTACTGTCTACCAAAGTTTTATTTCTTTTTTGTTTTTAGGTATGCCTGTTACTTAAATACCGAGCAGACCAGTCGATTGTTGACAAAGATGGGCAGACGCCGCTTGACATCGCCGTCAATAACGCCAACGCTGATATTGTTACACTGTAAGTCATTTTGCACCACAATATAACATTAGAATATATTCTTTTTGCATTGCAAAATATAACCTATTTACTTTATGTCACGGTTGAATTTTGTTTTTTTTCCCGGTTTAACAATTTATTTTGTACGTTGTTCTCACGTATGCAAAATAATGAGTATTAAATAATGTTTTGATGAGCTTAACAAATTTTTTTTTAAAGAATAAAGATGGAGCTTCTGGCTTGTTCTTCTCTATTTGAATCTTCATTTTTGGACGAGCTTCTAGCTTCACTGACGGACAGACAGACGGATTATTATTCTATTTTGACATCTCAGAGTGCATGTACATGGTTTAGGTAGAATAACCTATACATATAATACTTTTTTCACTTTTTCTTGTAGTTTTGCAAAAATAACAGTATCAAGTGTCTCACATCTGTTTTGTCCCATCAGAGAATAAAATAAACACAGAAAGCCTCCCAGTATGATCCTATCATTAATTTGTACAACATTATTAGTACATCGTAGATATTATTTTCCTTTATTTACTTGTTCAACTTGATTTTCATTCTTTGGCTATAGTATTTGTATCTGGCTGGTTTTGGTATCATTCATTAAAAGTTTTAATTTTAAACAACATAAACAAGAAATTCGAATGTTATTTTCTAAAAACAACTCCATGCATAGATTATTATTGTTAACCAATGAACAATATTTAGTTTAAGGCTGACGAAGTTGAACGAGGAGATGCGAGAGAGTGAGATGTCTTCAAACGATGATACGTACAACGAAGTGTTCCGCGACTACACGCAACTCGCGCACTCGCACCCTGAGCGACTCGTGCGAGCCAAGCATAACAACAACGAAGGTAATTCATTATACCATTAGCCTACCCTGCTCCGCACGGGCCTTCATTTTTTTATGATATGGGTCGGCAAACACGCGGATTACGTGATGGTAAGCAATCAGCGCCGCCCATGGACACCCGCATCGCCCAAATGAGTAACTAGCGTTGCCGGCCTCTTGGGGATAAAGCTTTCGGATATTTATGGATTTGGAAAGGATGAGGGGAGGGGGCAGGCATTGGGCCTCCGGTAACCTCACTCACACGGCGAAACACAACGCTGTGGTTGTTGCACGCCGGTTTTCTGTAAGGCCGTGGTAATTACTCCGGTCGATTCGACCCACTCGTGCCGAAGCATGGCTCTCCCACACTTAAAACGGTTGCGTTGAAGTCTCCACAATATCCTGAGTGCCATAGCTAATGAGCTCGATTGTCCCATAATGTGGAAATTAGTACAGCGGACTAAGTCCCTGCTTAACCATAACGTATTAAAGAATTTTATTTTAATATATAAAATGGATCTCAGTTATTTTAATAAATAAGCTTATTATTATATTAAAACACTCACGTATTTATTGATAGACAGTTTTATTTATAACTAGCTACTACCGTGCGGTTTCACCCGCTGTTTGGCTCCTATTGTCGTAGAATGATAATTTATAGGCACATATTCTAATTTATATAGTATCAACTATTTGATACTATATATATTCCAGCAGATCACGCTATATGAATATTGTTTCATTATCGTTTGATATTTTATACCTAAAAGCATATGACATTTTTTAGTTTTGGAGGAAATTTTACGAATTGTTTAAGTTATGCTAAGGGCTTGAAACTTATCGCATTCCCGTAACTCAAACCTCAAAATCTTTATACATTGAACATCTAGAAAAAAATAGCCTCTGTCGGGATAGAATCGAGCCAGTGTTATATTCCAAACTACAATCAACCATTACAATCATAAATATATAAGACTCTATACCTACAAAAATCTAGTTAGCAAAGCGCCAAATATTTTTTCTAGGTTAGATAATCGAATATTTTACTTACTTTTTTACTTTCTTATCAGGAGAACAGCCTAGTGAATGACGCAACGAGTCGGGCGGTCGGCGGCGATGGCTGTGGTAGCGACCACTGCGAGCTCAGTAGCCGAGGTACCCGCTTGCATACGTGTGACATGACAGACATCACATACAGGAAGACTAACAACTATAAAACAAATCTCCCCGTGAAACCGAAGTAAACGTGAGTATTCTGTGAAATAGTTTATAGTTAGAAAAAAAAAGGACATTTTCAGTTTCATTTTATTTCTACAATTCGGCCTAACCACTCAGTTTAGTCGATTTTTTATGACATCACTATGACTGCTTATATTTATTATTTTTTGTCATCTGGTAACACACAGTTTGTGGTAGCCACGTTTATTTCATAGATAACATATTAAATCTTTTTAGATATGCTAGATGATGTTTTAAGCTATTGTCTTCCCGTTCTGTAAAGGGTCAAAATATCGTTTTATAAAACCCAAAGTTATTGTGCTAAACACATTAAAAGGCTGTTTGAACTTTTGAAGTTCGCCCACATGTTAGAAATCTTTTTACGTTTACGTTCTTACAAAATTATGTGTGTCTAAGACTATATTGCAATTATCGTGTTCTTAAAGTATTTTTGACGTAACGTGTCTGGCTAATAAAATAAACTAAAATATAATAATTTTAAAACATGTTAGTGCTTATTTGACCATAGGTCGGTAAGGTGATCTCTATTAAAATTTTATATTAAATATATCGCCTGTAAAAAAATTACTTATGAAACAATTTGCTGCCAAGAAAACATAATCATTTTACAATAGAATTAAACATTCAACGGAGTTTAATATTTTGGAAATACATATGTATATATGTCTGTCAACATTGGTGCCAAGTAGAATAGAACTACACTAGCGCTGCTATCGTAAAACATTTACTTAACAAAAAATGAAAGAGACAAAATATTATTATATGAACGGTAAACTAAAGAAATTAAGCAAGTCATTGTGTTCTCTCCTGCTCTTGTTACACATTTTAGAGGAAGAAAGCGAGAGGTCTTTTGTAGGTCTCAGTAGACATTTGTTTTATATGCTAAATGATCTGCACCATTCAACTATTCTTGTTGACTTAGCGTAAAGCTGAGGTGTATATAATTATCGATATTATAATAATAATAATTGATATTGTTAATGTTATTGATGCATAGCGTATTATATGGTTGGGGCGGCGAGATGTAAGCTTTAAATGTTAGTGGTTTAAGTATGTATAATTAATACGGAATATATTGTCTGGAATTGTATAATTAGACAAAGTGCAGGATGGATCTGATCTGCCGTTGACAGTACACAATGTACCTAAACTGTGTTTAAATAAGTTCGATATTTAAATGACCACGTCGTTATGAAACAATCTGTGTATTTCTTGTCCTTCCAAAAATCTTTCCTCCCCCCATGACGCATCGCATCAAATTATGAACAGAGCCATAATTTAAAGGGTGGTGTGATTTATCTTTAGTAAACCAAAGATTTTAAGTATTGGTTTTATAACGTTAGATATTATAATCGTGAGACGTACTAAACTAGTTGAAATGTACGACCGACCCACGTGAAGTGCGTTGAGTAAAGTTTTACAAGTTTTAAGTCTCACTGCGAGTTAGTTGCGTGACACCGCCACGTCGTCCGTCGTTCAAGAGTCCCGGTGTGGCTTGAAACTAGTAGAGCTTTCACGTGAGTAAATCGTAATTTCAATTATCGTCAGATATTATGATTAGTTGGAAAATATAAATCATAAGGTTTAATATTGAAGGTCTTTTAAGTCCAAAGGTTTTTTAAAATGTATTGCCTGGCTTCTTGTGAAAACAAAGTGCGATTAACATTCCTGTTAAAAAAAGCCATTCCAAAAATGTTGGCATTTAAATGTTTTTTTTTAAGAATTCGGCTCATTTATGAATCTCAAGTGAAATTTTTGATTGTTAGCTCTTAATTTTTTTTGTATATTTTAGTGTAATAATGTAATATAATGTTCACTTGCCAAATTATTGCAATGTTCTTAACTTGCCTCTGTTATATTGCTTTTGCGATTAAATACATCAATTTTGAAATCTTTACCAGTATTGTAAGCATAAAGAATGATCCTGTATTACTCTGTAAATATGCAACCTCTAAGGTGAGGTGTAAAAAAAGAAATATGTTCTAATAAAAAAAAAACAGAAATATACAGTAGAATTCTATGAACTCAATAATTATGTATCCATGCAGTTCTACTAAGCTTTATGCGGTGTCTCCCTATTACTATTTCGACGAATTTACATAACGAAATATTTTAGTCTTAAAGTTAATGCTTGCTAGATGTTATAATACTCTATTCCTATTAAGATTTTTTCGAAATGTAATCATTGTCTATGCTATATTTCGAATACCTATCGCGAAAGTGGTGCCCTCTATTTGAGACGAACACGCAGGATGTTACGAATTTGTAATTGGAACGAATTTAATCATCTTAAACCGTTACTATTGTCTGTAGATTTTGAAAGTCAAAATCGTATTACTGATTTGACATTGATTAATGTAACCAAATTTAAGTGCCATTATGGAGGCACTTTGTCGAATTGATGTAATGGGGTCTGTCATACATTTATAATATAGTATATAAGGGTACAACAGCATCGAAATCTGATGACATCAAACTTTTTGTAGTGGATCCTATCCTAGACTTTTCTCTAAGTAAAGGGCAAGTATTTATTATCTGCGGCTATAAAAGAAGCCGTAGCGCGCGGTTCCAATTGTGGGCCGGTGGTCGCCAATTGTTACTACTTTTCTAGGCAAAAAAATCCATTATTCATATAGACTCTGACGAAAAATATTTTATTTGCCCTGCGTATGAAAACTATCTGAAATATGCCAGTGGCGGCGTTTTGTGGCTAGGACAAGTGGATCGAGTGCGGGTTTTGCTTTCTTTTTTAAGGTGATAAAATCATCAAATGACTTCTTCCCGCCCAGACAGTGTCAGACTCTTACTGAATAAAAAGCCCCCCCCCCCCCCCCCCGTTCTTTCACTTGCTCCAGGCCAAGGCCACGGTACATGATAGCACTCGACCTTACTAGTGAACATCAGCCCTGTAAGGCCGCTGCCTCGAATCTTGCGGGCAGCGGCGGCGGCGCGGAAGCGGAGCGGGCATCGCAGACCCGGTCTCGATACTAGCGGGTGGATCGCGCGTCATTGTGTCCACTTAGCGTTGTGTTCATTATTGTGTCGTCGATATATTTGCTTTTATTCGCGAACTAAATGTCTGAACAATGGCGGCAACATTTTTTTGATTCAAAATTCCTAACGCTCGATTTATTGTGGACGCGGGCGGTCACTGCTCGACTAAAGTAAACCACTCGCTGCCCGCGCCCGTCCCGCCGCCGCGCCGCCGCCGCCCCGCTGCCCCCGAGATTCGAGGCAGAGGCCTTAGTTGCCCAGCCACCGCGCCAACCGTGCAGTCAAAATTGTAGTATTGTCTACTTGTGTGTTTACCATACAACGGAATGTTATAAATGTAGTAAGACAGGCCTCCCATTGATATGTATTTAGTAAACATTACATCGTACCACGTAATAATACTCTGTTATACTGTTAATGTATTATCGTCTATTATAATAGTTATCATTTGAATAAAATATTTGACAGGAGCAAATGTATTTCATTTTAATTTCCTTAACCCTTAAATGCATCTTGTATCGATATCGATACATCGCATTCTAATAGTTTTTATCGGATTTTTATTTGAAGTACTGCGTAGGCTGAAGATTCATACATTTCTTTGCCTCATTACCCAACAAAAAAAAGTAAGTGTCAGGTGTCAATGTCATATCTGTGGAATAATTTCCTTGTCTATGGTGTAGTCGTCAACGTAGTGCGCGTTTTTCTGGAATTGAAGTTTTTATAAAACTGCGAGAACGAAAATAATTCGAATTGATGCCAACAAAAATCACAAAATGGATGGTAAGTCCTTCATTTACTTGAAAACAATCGAATATGCACGACTTTTATGTGTTTATCTGAGTAAATATCGCATTTTATGTTTGTCTCGAAAACGATACAGCATGCGTTTGGTTCCCGCCTACACACCATTCAAAAGTTTGTTCATAACGGTTTTGGTTTTGATTTTACTCGCTTTTGGGTATGGTTAAATGCTTTTTTTTTGGCTTTGTAGAGCGGCAAATAGAGGATATGCTTATGAGGTTGGAGAATGGTGAGATTTCAGAAGATGATTTAGAGTCAGATGGAGAAGATATTCCTTATTACCCATCTCGAGAAGCCTTGGCAGCTGAATTAGAAGATGACGAAGAGGTGCTTACGGGAGAGAATAATTTAGAAGAATTTCCAGACCCTCCATTGGTTCAAGATGAGCAGCCTATACAAGACGCACAGTCTTCGGAGCAAGTGGAAGCACAAGCGACTGAATCTCTCATAAATTTGAGGCATTTACTGTGGAAAAAGCAGTCTTTTCCATTTGATGAGAATAATGTCAAATTCGTTGGGTCTGAAGAGTTACCTTCATCTATAATGGAATTGCAAAGTCCTTACCAGTTTTTTAACTATTTTTTCACGAATCAGTTTATGGAAAACATTGTTACTGAATCAACTCGCTACGCAGTCCAGAAACAACCTGACAGACCCGAATTATTCACAGTGGGCGACCTTCGCAAATATTTTGGGATCCTTATATTCATGTCTGTGTACCATTATCCGAATACAAGGTCGTATTGGTCCAATAAATTTGGCTTTAGACACATCAAAGAGGCAATGCCTGTGAATAAATTTGAGAAAATGCGAAAGTTACTGCACTTCAATAATAATGATGATCATCTACCAGTAGACCATGCGCAGCATGACAGGCTTCATAAATTACGTCCCGTAATAAACCATTTAAATGAAAAGTTCTCCAGCGTAACCATCGAACAGAGATTATCTATAGACGAACAGATGTGCGCCACCAAAGTAGGACATTTTCTGAAACAATACCTCCCCAACAAACCCCATAAATGGGGGTTCAAATTGTTTGTTCTATGCAGTTTAGCCGGTTTTGCTTATAGGTTTATAATTTACTCTGGGAAAGAAGCTAATGAAGGATTGTCAAACGAACATAACTTGGGAGTTGTGGGACAAACAGTCATGAACTTGCTGAGTGTGGTACCCAGGCAAAGAAATCATATTGTCTATTTCGACAACTACTATACATCTTTGCCATTGATGTATACACTAGCCAAACAAGGTATACATTCCCTAGGCACTATTCAAAGAAACCGATTAGGAAAATCTTGCAAGTTGCCAACCAAGCAGGATGTTATGAAGAGTTCAGTCCCAAGAGGGTCGTATGAAGAATACGTAACAAATTTTGAAGGAATTGACATGACAACAGTTACTTGGAAAGACAATAAACAAGTCATCTTAGCTTCGACATATGTTGGAGCATGCCCCGTGGAGAATATAGAACAATTCGATAAAAAAGAAAAGAAGAGGATTTCTATCACGTGTCCGAAGTTAATCAAGGAATATAACATGCACATGGGTGGGGTAGACCTAATGGATTCCTTTCTAGGAAGATACAGGATTCGAATGAAGAGTAGAAAGTGGTACATGAGGATCTTCTATCATCTGCTAGATTTGACTGTAATAAATGCATGGGTATTACACAAAAAAGTAGAAGAAAGAAAAGGCAACCACAAAAACATCATGACCCTTGCAGACTTCCGATCAGAGTTGGCTGAAACTCTTTGCCAATATACTCCTACTAACACCAGAGGGCGCCCTAGCACCAGTGCTATAAGAGAAGATCAACCACCACCCAAAATGCGAAAAGGCAAACCTATCCAAGTTTTGCCACCCCTTGAAGTTAGACTTGACCAAGTGGATCATAATATCATGAGAACAGAGTCACGTGGTCGATGTATGATGCCATCGTGTAATTTACTTAGTATAATTAAATGTTCTAAGTGCAATATTTACTTATGTTGTAAGAAATCTAAAGATTGTTTCACCCATTTTCATAATTCTTCAGTTATATAAAATTTAATTATTTTGTAAAGATAATGCATAGTGTATCGAAATCGATACAAACATATTTTTATAAAAAAATAAACGTTCTAATTGATTTAGATTTTTTTAATTATTTTTTGAGTTAACATAGACCTTTAAAGAAACATAATATTTTTTTTTGGCTAAACATCTTTTATTATGCATTTAAGGGTTAAATTTCGTTTTTTATGTTCTAACGTTCTAACAAAGCTGGACGCGACATACTCCTATTCGGTGTATTTAACAATAATAATATTCAAGTTTAAAAAAACATGTACAGGGTCAAGTTCTCATGTATGGGTGGAAATAAAAATACTCAGCAATGCTCAAAAATAAGTAATATATTCAATTTAACAAAAAAGTGAAAAGAAAATTTTTCATTGGTACACTAACTAGTGATTACAATATTTTTTTGCCAAAAGTTAATTTTACCAAAGGATTGCAGTGTACATGAAATAATGTGATTTGATTATAGGAGAAATATATTAACAATAAATTCATTAAGATTTAGAATAGAAACTATTCGATTGTAGCTGACGTATGAATATTTTGATGTTATTAGATATATATTATTATTAATTTTAATCAACTTCAGACATTTGATAACATAAAGTATAAATATTTTTAAAACCAATGAAAAATTAATTAGAGAAACAATATAAATAGAAAATGTTCTGAAACCATATTAAGGTGTTTGAAACAAAAGCATGTCCTGCATACTTCGAAAATATAATTAGAACTAATGTTCTTTCACAGTGCACTTTTATACTTTGGAAAGTAGAAAAAAGACCGAACTCTAGTTTGAAAGAAAATATAGCTTCCCTGTTAATAAATACTGATGTAGTAATATTTAGAACAGAAAACCATATTTTGTGATTATGGTTTCAGAAATATTGTACCAAAGCAGAGGCTTAAGGTACGTACATGAATCAGCGTTCCATAGTACATTTCACACAAGCGAATAGAATGAACGAGTATCCTTCAAGTGCCTAAGATATAGTCAACAAATGGTACAGATATGTCCAAAAAAAGAATCTAATATTCACACCTAGGATGCTCGTTGTACGAAGAGTCTCAATAATGTATCTTTCGGTCTTCTGTCTTGGCTAGAGATAAGCAATCAAAATGAAACATTTGCAAATCGGCCGTCAGTTAGATTATTGAAACTGGAATATTCACTCGTCAAGGTTCAGTTTAGACCAAAGTTGGTCCAGAGAGATGAGTAAGAGAGCCCCGGGTTAGCCGGTGAGCTGACTGGGGAAGCCGAGGGGGCGGACGTGCCGCCCTGCGAGCGTGATGTGTTAGCGCCGGCGCCATTCAACAGCAGTGACGTCGAAGGCGGCACACGCCTGCGAGACGAAAGGCTTCCAGAACCTATCGAAAAAAAATTCAAATCAAATCTTCCAATTTTTGAAAAAGTTTAAATTAATAAACAAACATGTAAATAATGCATTATTTACATAGCATTCTGAATCATTAATATTGATAGTAATGAGCTACCTGACTCGCTGCCCTCCGGGCAATACTTGATAGTGTGGGCCCTGTCGCCAGTGGCGCCACAGCGGGGACAGCGGAAAGCGCGCAAAACAGGGCACAAGACGCGACCGCGTAAGTCTTTCAGTGCATGTGAAGAGTAACACTCCTCGTTCTCTCCGTTATTCTTGCAGAAGGCACACTCCTGTAAACGCGGACAATTTTTTCATTTCTACAACACTACATAGTATAAAAAAGTAGCTTTTTTGCTGTCCCTATGTCCTTTCTCGAATCTTTAAAACCATTTAACGGATTTTGATACAAGTGTTTTTAATAGATGAGTGATTAAATAGAATGCCTTATACTATTAACCATCCTCTTTAAGTATTACTAGCTACTCCCGCGCGGTTTTACTCGCTGCTCAGCTCAATTTCATTGTAGCGTGATGTTTTATAGCCTATTAGCACTCGGGAATATTGTAGCTATCAATAAGTGAAAGAAATTTGGGGATCCGACCAGTGATTCCAAAGATTACCCGTACAAACATACAAACTTACAAATTTTACCTCTTTATAATAAGTATTAGTAGGTATAGATAAAATCAATAAATAATGAAGAAATTAAATATCAGCATTGCAGCCGTCTGAAGCCGGGGCGCTAGATTATATATATATTCAGAAATTATTCTATTATATTGATTAATATGATAAGTTTAACTTTTTAACCTTGAAAAACATGACTTGTTTATGCTTGTACCATATTTTTTTGTTGCCAACAAAACCATAACTTTTATATTTGAATCAGTTTTGAAAAAAAAACACTGATCAGATAATCAAGGAGGAAATAGTTACGTTCGGTAGGGCGCGTCGCATGCGGCGGTCGCTGCGTGCTTTGGCTACTTCTTGCAGGAATTCATATAACAGACTGGGGCGAATGGATCGCAGCACTGACAGTTGCTCCCGTGTCAACATCGACACGTATGTGTTTGCCGATGATAGACCTACAAATAAGAAAACAACTCTCTAGGGAAAATGTACATTTTCCCTAAAGATAAGTTTGCCGATGGGTAGTAAAAATACCTCATTAAAAAACATACCGAAATGTAACTTTCAGACAATAACGACACATTGAACACCACAAAAAAGGTTGCTACTGCAGTTTACAACAAAAATAATAAAAAAATTAACAGTGAATTACATACTTTTAACGAGGAAGTCGAATGTATCCATCATTTCGCTGTTCCTCGAGGATTGCGCGTTCGCAGCATCAGGCCAAACGCTGGACGACGCAGACTCGCTGCGACTACCAAATCCTGTTTACAGACAATCAATATCCATTTTAAGTGAGGGAGAGCCATCATTGGCCTAACAGAAAACTGGCGTGAACAACCATATTGTGTTTCGCCGTGTAAGTGGGGTTACCGGAGGCCTAATCTTTCCTCTCCCCTAATCCCTCCCCACCCCCTAAATCTTCACAACCCTAACCCCCAAAAGGTCAGCGCACTCGGCACTCCTGTTGTTGCGGATGTCCATGGGCGGTACTGATTGCTTACCATCAGGTAATCAATATAGGCCTGTTTGCCATCGTAACGCATAATAAACTCGACATAAATTTATGTACCGCGGCTTCGGCCTGGAGCAGGAGAAAGAATCCCTCTCATTTTCAGCCCACCCAAGGCGAAAAGAAGAATACAATAATGAAATAATATGATGATTATCAAAAAAGGCATAAATGTAACTGTGCAAATCTTTAAAATCCATTTTTGACATTGATATTAGCTGCATTAAATTTCTAACAAAATCCAATATACATCCAGATTAAAGTTTAAAATGGATTATTTATTAATAATTTGAGCTGAAAGATAAACAACATTACCTGAAAAATAATTATTGACGTTGGCATCTTCAGTGAACATGTCAGATCCATTGAGACGAATATTTGACAGCAAATCCTCCATATCGGCGACTGCTGGCGCTGTGGAAGTAAATAAATAACATTATAATACTCACCCTATTATTCATTAAACGCTATTTAAAATAAAAATCTTTACATAATAACTAACTGAGGGCTCATCTTTTATAATTACTATCAACTTCAGTTATAAAAATGTTACAATAGGCAAATATTAAAACGTCTTGTTGAAAGATATTCATTGTTATCTACTCGCTCGGTGCTCGGTACGGTTGTTTTACTATCTAGCTCACAACAAAAGGGTCACTATAATATTCCATTATATTCCTCGAAAGATTTAAGAACCTACTTTTGACAATAAAAAACACAACAAAATAAGAATTAGCAAAATTGGACCAGAGCCGACGTTATTGAGCTATGCGCTTACCAACATACATATATTGCGATTAATTTCTAATTAGGTATATATGTACTTATTTAAAAGTCTTCTTCCATACGAACCTTCTCCTGACATAAACCAACACAACAACTAATGAATATTACATGGTACCTAATTCGAATTTTTTCAACTACCTGCAATTTATAATGTTATTTCTACGTACGATAATCGGCGGCTCTTGGCTCCTGTTGTGACAGCATGTTCAAGAGCTCGCTGCCTCCAAGACCCTGCATCATTGGTGTCATGGATGACAACACTGGATCTTGAGCCACGTTTCTATTATCCGGAAATGTGAAGCTATCCTGTGAGACAAGTTTACAACCCTAGAAGTGGTATTTATTTATTAGGAGATACCCTGTTAGCGGTTAGTAAGTAGGAACAACGCAGACTGCCACGTTGTTCTAGTTGACCCTACGTACTCGGTGATAAATTACTTTAACTGCAACAAAATTTATTCATCTAATATAAGAACTCTAAATTTAAACTTAATATAGTACCGCATAGTAGGTAATTTATCGAAGTAGTGAAGGTACTTCAAAAAATATCAATTACATTTCTCAAATAAACTATGTTCGTAATGGTTTAATTTCAATCAATTTGAAACATTTGATTGAAGATCAAATTGATTTGTTCATTCATTAGTAATTAAATAATTTGACGAACGGTGCTTGTAATGCTTTGTTAATGCGTCATCGTCATCAGTATCAGTACTTACGGTAGTCGATGTAGGATTCTGATCACCAGCTAGTGTAAATATAGGTTTTTGTTCCTCCGTATTATTAAAACTTACGGATACAGAGTCCATTTTTTTAATATCTTTAAAAATATCGTTAACGAATAAGGTCAATAAATGAAATGTTACACGTAAACCGTCGTCGAATGAAAGGAGCGATCGATGCGTAGATGCACCATTTATACCAACTAATAACCCCTCTCACACGCCTACATGGACAAAACGGCTTATAATCGGAAACTCGTTTTCAAGTAACTCACAACCTACCCTCATACGAAAATGTTTCAATAACATGATATTATCGTTGAAAGCAATAAACTATGAAGCATGTAATAAAATGAACTTGATAATAATGTCACGTAATTATCCATGTTTACTCTAATAATGTTTTGTTGAACTGACATGTTTAGATTATTCAATAAGAAGGCATATTTTCCACTTAGTAGGTAGTTGTTTGTAAGTTGTTATCTGTTCGTGGAGTGGTGCAAGCCGAGTAGTACGTTGTTGTTTTAGTTTTACGATGTTTTATCATGACATTCTATAAGTTCATGTACCCAATATTTGCTATCTAAGAACTTTAAAAACAAACAAATTACTTTTTTTGCAAGATAATATGCCCGTTTTCCTTGAATAGATAAAGTAGTTTTCTCGCCATAAATGACATCATCAAAGTGCGAGAGAGCCATGCTTCGGCACAAATGGGTCTGCTCGACCGGAGTGATACCACGGCGTCACAGAAAACCGTTGTTTCGCCGTGTGAGTTAAATTACCGGAGGCCCAATCCCTCCCCCTCCCCCATCCCTTCCCAACCCTTAACTCGTTTGGTGTTGCAGGTGTCTATAGGCGGCGGCGATTGCTTTCCACCTTGTTATCCGTCTGCTCGATTGCCGTACTCTTACATAAAAAAACGCATTATTTGCCAAGGTCCTCAAATTGAAACCATTCACAGAGCGACTGTTCGTCGTCGCAGCAATCTCAAATACTTTGCAGCCTGCCCTTCACAGGCTGTTGATTAGGAAGGGTGTGGGTTCTCCTTCTTGGTAAGTAAACTCACCAGTAAACTTCTTTTGGCTGATTATTATGAATGTACAGATAGACGAGTGCAAATATGATTAAAATTTAATTTTAATTAAACAACTATTTCCTGATTCAGGATTGCAGCGGGAATAGGTCGCCATAAGGATGTAAATGGTTTGTTCAAACTGAATCACAATTTGTCCAAAATATACCAGAAACAAGCCTAAAGATTATAGGTGAAGAAGAATATGTAGGTGATAGATATCCTGTCAATGAGCCTCCCTCGTCTCAATAACAAAGGGACTACTGAGTCTTTTTCATTTAAAACGCACTTATTAATATAAAGGGTGAAATAAAACGCAACATTTCTCCATATTTATTTATTACGCCAATTTTGATTGTACACAAATTAATCTAAACTAATAATACAACTCAATTTTATTATGTCATTATTTCATTACAATTGGCGTTAGAAAAACTAAATATAGGAACGCATTAAATCCAACCGAAATGTAAATCTAGGTTTCGTTAACTTTTTTAAGATTCGGTTTCTGAAAACTGACCGAAAGCAAACTACATGAATAAACTAATTTAAAAGATATTTTAGGTTTTTTAAAAATGCTAGCTGTATTTTTCTTAAGTATGTAAGAAAAATATTATTTCAAAACGTGATTGAATTTAATTGATTCCATTTCGGTTTTAGTCAAATTGAAATCTGCAACCAAAATACAATTTACATAAACAATTTCGGTCGGACAATACACTTAAGGTTACATTATAAATAATAAAAAAATAAAAATAGGAACTTTAAAAATGACGTGCTTGTTCATCTCCTGCGGTAAGTTATGAATTATTTAGATATTAAAACGAACTACAACTAATAAGTACTTTTATTGTTATGTCATTCATTAGTTTGAAACTGATAAGTAATGCGGAAAGCAAGAACACCTTCCGAATATTACAATATGGTTTATTGTTTTTTATTCATAAGCTCTCATAATTAAAAATTACATCCAATGATAAAAAGTAATTATAAAGCTACATATTATAAGGATTGAGACGGGTTCAATATAATGTTGATGATATTACGTAGCGTCATGATCATTAATTACATTTTACTATTTGTGTTAGGTAGGTACTGTCCGAATCGTCAAATATCATAAAGTATCAAGAATCAACTATGGTCATGTAGCGTCTCATCTTGAAGTGGACAAAATGTCAAAAAAAGAACTTATAATTATGTAGAATTGTAGACCATAGTCATTTGGGGTCCCTTAGGGGGGTACATTTACCTGCAACTTGCACGAGATTATTAAGTACGCTGGCAAGTGTAGGCGGTCAAATCGGTATGAAATATGTATCTCAGTAAAGATTTGTTGTTTGTGTGTGATTGTTAAACCACTTGGTGTGATGGAGCGGTGGGCCCGGAGACTAAGCGACGTCGGAGTATGTGGCGCCGCGCGGTAGCACGCTAGCTCTCTTCGTTGTCGTCCGGGGAGGGTGGCCGACAACGATGTATATGTGTATTCGCCGATGTGTCGTTCTCCGATTTCTTGCAAACAGTGCCACTGGCGCAGACACAACTAAAAACAAAAAAAATGTTCACTTTTAACATTCCATATCCGTTACAAGTAAAAAATATTTTTTAGTATATTGGACCAAACCAGAGCTATGCCCTTCGCACGACAGAGATGTTCACGTTTTTTCTTGCCGCACCACAATTAAGTTGCATGAGGCACCCCTCATGCAACTTAATTTTGGCCTCATTTCGCACTTGACATGTTAAGTCAGAATAGCATTTATTTTATTTCTATTTTTAAAATTAAACATTTTCTTTCTATTTATGTGATACGCATATTTTTTTCGGTAAGTAATAACATTGTTTCATTATCATTAATCTACAAAAAAAATTGAAACAACGTTTTCGCCGCCATGTGACAACTGTAAGTATTTTTTAGCAAGCAAGGGAAACGCATCAAATTCATTTTTAGGGTCCCCCCTTCCCATATAGCGGGCACCAATCAAGGCTACAACTGCAACAATGATTTTTAAAAACGGAAATACTCGTCCATTGCCAACCTATTTCAGCAGTAATATTCTAACATGATCCATAAAGATTTAAACTTACTGCCTCGATGATGAATGAAAATTATACGGCTAAAAACAACTGAAACTGTTAAAAAATCTTGACTTTTGACATACAGGCAAACGTAGTGAACGGCATCCTCCAGTTAGGTGGACTGACGATATCCGCAGGGTGTCTGGCAGTGGTTGGGTGAGAATAACTGAACATCGAGCTCAGTGGCGTGCAATTAGGGAGGCTTATGCCCAGCAGTGGACGACATCAGGCTGATGATGATAACTATCATGCAATTTTTTTAATGGAATTGGAGGCAAACGAGCTTATGCATCACCTGATGGTAAGCGATCGGCGCCTCCCATAGACACCTGCAAGACCGGAGGAGTCACAGGCGTTGCTGGCCTTTTAAGAAGGGGTACTTTCAGAAGAAGTAGTAACTTAGTATGTATGTCTCTCTGTCGTTGCTAATAATACTAATATGGACTTACTATTTATTGGGGATGTACATTTCTGAGAAAGCCGGCATGCCCGGTCTGTAGACGGTCCATGCGCATGGGGTTTGGTAGGCACAAGTCCTTGTTTCTTCTCCAGAAGTCGTGGTAGTCGATGTTGTCGACATCGCCTGGAGCAGATCGTCGTCCTCAGTATTCATGGCTCGCTGGAAAATATTAACAAATACACATGTTTATGTATGGGCTGATGTTAAAATAAATTAAGATCTATGTAGACACTTGGTAAGTTTAGTTGTCAAACAGTAGAAATAGAAACTTCTTGTAATACTTTAAGTGGGTGTCGCAAGATGGAGTAAGCAGAACAGAATAAGGGAGATGAAACGAGATGCAAACATGTCCAGCAAGCAAGCTAGCCACCACATTGTGTGAAAAACCTAGATCGATCTGATCAAAAAGTCAAAAGTCAAAAATAATTTTATTCCAATTAGACCCTTACAGGCACTTGAACGTCAAGCAAAATTTTGAAGATATAGTGTCAGTCTGTCGGTCATTCCTCTTGGTGAAGCTATTTGCTCGTTCCAAAGTGTAGATACCGATAAAGGAGAACGAGCAAGAAACTCCATGGTTACTCTTTTTAAATCAGTTTCACATACAGATTCTCTTTATGTTATATCATTTACTTAGATTAAAATCCAACTAAGTATCTCTTAAGACCCCACGCCGAAACAAACCTCAAAAGCTCTCGAATGGAATATTGAAGCTCCTGAAACACCGAACTGAGATGTGACCGCAGTCTTCAGCCAATATGCCCGAGTATGGTAACGTCAATAGGCGAATTTTAAAATCCTGCACAAATACTGCACGAGAGTCAGTCTGAGTCATTTGGTAAAACTAGGGCTCAAAGGTATCACAAAAAAACGTCTATTTGTGCAAAGCTAAATTACAAGACTGAAGATGTTAGCATCGTATTGACAAAATTGGAGATTCTGGGAGAGCTTGAGAGGTTCTACGGACAATTGTACACCTCAACCTATTGTCGGTACGGCTCGGGACCCACGAGGTAAGATTACACTAAACGGACGACATTCTAGAGCCTGTATGAGATTAGGGTGGCTCTCAAACAGTTTAAAAAAACTGATTGGGACTCCATTAGCCTCAATCACACGGCGAAACAACGATGTGGTGTTTTCACGCCGGTTTTTAATGAGGCCGTTGTATCAATCCGGTCGAGCGTTCGTCATAAAAGGAAGCCTGGTCGTTTTGTATTTTAATTTCGTTGAAATTGTTGTCCACTAACTATTTGAGTTAATAGGACTGTTTTCATACTCAGTCACTCATCCATGACGAACTTAATTATACTGGTAGGATGCATGATAATAAATAGTAATAAATTATTCAATTGATTCTTTTCTTGGTCATAAGATGATTTTAGTTTGATTGATATGGGTGATGATGGGGAATGTCGTGGTGGCCCGGAGGTTGAGGAGCCCGCTTCTCATGCATGAGGGTGTGGGTTCGAAACCTGGCAATTATCAATGTGACTGAGTTTTTCCAAGTTATTTGTACTTTCTATGATTATTTAGACACCACTGACATACGGTGAAGATAAACATCGTGAGGAAACCTGGACTTATAATTTCTAATTTAGGTTTGTAATCGCCAACCCGCATTGAGCAAGCGTGGTGATTAATGCTCCTTCTCCGTATGAGAATAGGCCTTTGCTCAGCACTTTGATGATATGGGTGATGCGTCATTCATATTAACGATTATACTACTACATAAGTACCTACTAGGAAAAAGTAAGTTACATTCTAACGAACACAAGTAATTTTTATCTTTGCAAGTATTTGATAACATTGTCTCAAAGGGCAATTAAGTTATCGAGTACCTACCTAAGTGCGGAAATATGCATTGTCATATGGTTGCAAAGTTAGTTATCTTATATAGGTATATGCACAAGAACTTCTACTGAATGATGAAAATACAGTACGGCCGCCGTATCTTGGCGAGTCTGAAGTTAGCCGTTTGTCTGCGCAATGGATCTTTTAGGAACAAAATTGTGTACTGCGAGCTACTACGCTAACTAGAGCTAATCGGCTAACTTCAGACTCGCCAAGATACGTCGGCGCTATTGTACTTAGTTTCGTAGAGATTGACAAAATATTAAATATTATTATTAAAATAAAATTTATTTATATTGAACGTATCTAGCTACATTATTTTGATTATACCGACTAGAGGGAGAATAGAAAAAAAAACATAATAAACTAGTAATAAATACTTTGACATAGGTACTATTATGACACTAAAATATTTTAGTACTACCTCAGAAAAAGTAAAAATTATTTATTGTGTTACTGTTTTTACATAGCATAGACCAAAAATATCATGAACGCCTAGGTAATTGAAATTGAACAATAATGTTGCCAACCATTTATTCATATGTTTTATTTTTTTAGGGTGTAGTCCTTTCGACTTTCGACTTAGTTATTCCACAAACCTACACAAGATTTTTTTAACGTACATTTTAATTTGTTTTGTTTTGTTTAGTAAGTACCTACCAACCTACTTCAAATTTATTTTTAGTACTGTTTAGCATATACCTACCTACCTACATTTCAAATCTAAAAAGAAAATTTTCAGTTAGTAACGACTTTTTTACATCTAGATGTAGTTTACACTATACATATAAGTACTATTCAGTTTCAGTGGAAGTGCTAGTTATCAGGAAAACGTGGTATCAGTAATATCAGTCGAATGTGCCGCGCGTCATACGCGCCGCCCTTGAGCGTATCCAACGTCCGGCCGAGTCGCCTGCCACGGGCCACCACCACAACCCATGAATGAACCGAATGCCCGATGAATGACTACTACGAAACTGTCACGTGGATCCGCACTCACATGACAAGCAAACAGGAAGCAACATTCGGCATCGGCACTAGGTATGCGGGTCGTTGACTTAATATAATTATTGTTTACACTACAAACTGCTTCTTTACGCCGACATTACAACGTAACAATGACGTACATGTTGTTTACCTGACCCAGACATCATTATTCTAAACGTTAAGAATCTAGGTACGAAGCTTTGTCTAGTATGTTATTATAAGACGCGCATTATAAAATGGTTTGCCGTAATCCCGTAGTAAAATCAGTCAATAATGTCTTAATCGTGACCACTTCAGCTGGAGCTTGTTGTCAATAATATATCTAGATTATAGCCATATGTAAGCCACATACCATATAAATTATATCTCCTAAATTATAATTTGGGGCCATGTCCTAGGCCACTTTAGGCCGCCGAGTAGTCTCCGTTGCCTTTTTAACGGGTGATCAGTCCATTGCACACACTTAGAATGTATCAAATACACAAACATGATTTAGGTAACTGAACGTAAATGTCTAACTAAACGAGAACGATTTTCATCACATAAGCCATATAATAATGTCAATATTCGAAGAAATGTAATCATATTAAATACAATTTTCTCCAACAATGTATGGATTTCTTCTTCTCCTATCACCCTATCTATTAAATAAAACAGATCAAAATCCGTTACGTAGTTTTAAAGACATCAGCATACATAAGATATAGGGACAGAAAAAGTGACCTTGTTTTACACTATGTAGGTACCTAGCGATGAATAGCTTTTCGTGATAGCATTCTAAACGTAATCTGTGTCATTTTACGAGTTTTTGAAGATAATTTTCGCGTATAGGAATAAATTGAATACGAGAATATTCGCAAAAGATCACGCCCTAAAGTCACGAGAAAGGCACGTGTTGCCACGTCGTACGACGTCGTCGACGTATTCAGGATTATTTTCTTATTTTTTTCACTAAAAAAAGAACATTACAAGATCACCAGCTCTAAAATGTTTTGAATAAACGCACGTCGTCGGCCACACACAAACATTATTCACAGTCCGCAAATAGAAGTTAGTAATAAATTGACAAATACGCGAACGCTTCGTACCTACGTAGGTAAATGCGTTATTTTTGTTTAGGAAAATACTCAAAATACGTCATTTCTACGTAGTGTGCGGTAATCACAATAAATATATTTTGGCATACATACAATCATCTTGGCCATTCAATTTTTCATCCATTGAAAAATCCATTGAGTAATTAATATTTAGAAATAATTTAATAAAATAGGTACCTATTAAAGTAATTTATATCTACCTTCAATGATCTCATAAGAATCTGCAACTTTATCAGTTTAACCAATGAACCAAGTTGCCGGTTCAAACAAGATTTCAATCACAAAGCGCTCGGTTTTATACGTCGTAATAAATCTTATATCTAGAGTTAATGTTTACTCTGTGCGTGTTTATTGGTGAGAAAAACGCTATCTTTCAATCTTAGAAAGTGTTTATCATTTGTAAACAATTTATTAATTATAAGTTACAAAGAGTATTTAAGCGACGGTGATACAATAGGTAACAAATAAAAATATGGAAACTTGATTGAGACAAATATTTAACTTCATTATAGAGAATTGATATTATGCGCAGTAATAACAAGCGTGTTTACGTTTACAAAGATTATGTTGACAATGAATTGCGTCTATTTAACGTTGCTTAAAAACAGTAATGACGTTAAAATGTCTGATTAAAACAAAACTCGACCACAACTCTTACAAGATAAACTTCTGTCGATCAATATTTGGAAGTTATTTCTATAAACATGATGATGAAAGTAGGAGACCACGTACCTATGAGATTAGAGTTCAAATTTTATTTATATACGTGTGACGATTACTCTTAATCAAAGAGAACCCATTTCTGTTATGAGGGTACGCATATTTTCTAGTGACCAAAACATTTCTCCAAAATTATAAAGACGTGTCTTTTATACCTACAGATATTTGTGATATTTGTTAATAAATAATACGATTTTTCTGAACTATTTTCCGGCTTTATATAAAATTGAATACAGTAAGAAAAAATGGCTAAGATCTATGATGGATACACGTAAAGCTGTTTTTGAATTACCGGTTGGAACATAATTTCAAGCTTAAAGCAAGCAAATGACGTTAATGTAACATTTCGACAATTTAATATGATGTAGGTAGATAATTCACGTACACTATATTTGTATAAATGAAATAAACGAAACGCATAAAACAAGATTCACAAAATTTCCAAAGCACAACATATAAATAACGTATGCATACAAAATCAGAAACTGCAGCACCAAACATAAAAACCATTCGCCTGAAACAACGAACTCAAGAATGTAAGAACGCACTTAATCCGTAAGCTGGTTATTTAAAGCCACTCACCCTAACTCTGGGAACCATGGCTGTGGTTAAAGCACATATCGAGAGGAACACCAGCAACCCTTGCTTCATGGTCACAAATGTCGGTTCTCGTCAGAAAGTCTAGAATACTTGCAAAAAAAGTTAGGCGCGCGCGGTGACGGAGCGTGCCGGAGTGGCGTCGGCGAGCAGGCGCGCCGTTATAAGTACCTACACTGGGCCACAGCTACAGTGAAGAGGCACGTCGGCCGTCGCACCACCGCCACCGTTAAAGATTTACCTATCAAAATCAACACTCGTATACTACGATACGACGATATTATCTACATTATTGTTTGTGACTTAGCTGACATGAATGAACGAGCCTTTAGGTGATAGCGATAAACTGACGACACGTGTCATACAATAAATAATATTCATATTGTCTTGTTATTGTAGTGATTCACAGACGAGCTGCAAATGTATTTTAAAGCTAAGGATTGTAAATAACCGAGTGATGTAAGGTTAAGTAGCGGGAAATTTGCTTATAGTCTACCCGTACCTAGGTACATGTAGATATGTAGACTGAAGTACCTAATTTGTGCAACACGACAGGCTGACAACCTCAAAAATTGTTTTTTTTTTAACATTTTGATGATCGTTCCTATCTATTATTATAAATCACAAGTCACACATACCCACATCATGCCAAAACATGTTCCACCAAAAAAAATGAGACTTCTCTTGAAAAAGGATAGAAAATAAATACAGTACCGACTCAACTATTGTACCAACGGTTTTCGATCATTTGTATCTGAAGGTAGATACAGCAAAAGCTGCGGAAACGCGATGCGTAAAGTTAGTCATGCTGTTTAATTTTCCGCTGAACTGTCCCATGTGTGATAGGTATAATCTTATTTTCCTTTATTACAACTTTGTGGACAGTATAAATAATGTTTACCTAGTCATTAAATTCTCATGAATTTCTTAAAAACGTTGTCTGAGGATTTTTTTTTTTTTGTTTTTATTTTATGTAGGTAGGTTAATATTTTTTTGGATTGTCTTGGATGTCCTTGGATAGATATGATATGACGCGGCGTATAAAGTATTAAGTGTTTTTACAAAAATATTTTTATATTGTGGCAAAGAGAAGTACCTACTTAAATTAGTACCTAGCTATTAAAGGTATATCATTAAAAAAGTATGGCGTTACCTTTCTCTAAAAATAATATGGCATGTAACAAGCTTCGTCTTACCATTGTTAACATTAACATAAGTAATAGATATAAAAAAATGTGCTTTAACAACATCAGTCATTTATAATGCACTAAATGTAAATCTATGATACCCACCAACTTAGACTAACAGTTAAGACAGCCATAATTCACGAATGGGCCGGCTTGACCGAAGTGACACCACGGCCTCACGAAAACCGGCGTAAAATAACTGCAGCGTTGTGATTCGCCATGCGAGAGAGGCTGCCAAGCCCTATGTATTCCCCTTCGCCCATCCCTCTCCAAAGTCTAATACCGAAAACCCCTTATCCCCAAATGCAAATGAGTTGCGGGCTGCAACTCATTTGCAACACAATACTTACAGGTAAGTAATCCAACTGCTAGTAGGTATACCAAAGTATTAGGTAGGTACATAAAATATATTTGTATATGGATGATACTGGCTTTATGTGTACCAAAGAGGTACTACTAGAAACTGTACAGTTTACTTTGCCCTGGGTGACGTTAAATATGTTTACAGTTGCATCATCCCACACGACAAATCGAAATAAATCAATATAAGTACCTACGCAATTTTTTTACAACCTAATGGCAAAAAGTGGGGCGTGGTACTCTCTGCTATTTACTTTACTATAGAAATAAATTGAAATAGTAAACTTAATAAAACAAAGACAGATAGGAGTAAAATGTAAAATCTATACTACCTATATAATATTATAAAGAAGTAAAATTTGTAAGTTTGTATGTTTGTAAGTTTGTATGTAGGGGGTAAACTTTGGAACCACTGGTCGGATTCCCAAAATTCCTTCACTTATTGATAGCTACAATGTTTTCGAGTTCTATAGGCTGTAAAACGTCGCGCTACAATCAAATGGAGCCGAGCAGCGAGTTAAACCGCGCGTGAGTAGCTAGTAAAAGACATATAGTTTAATATTTATTTAATCAGCATTTAATTCCGCTGTAAAATGATATCTTATAGGTAATCGTAAAAGAACATAACCAAACTAACCTAAGAAAAAAGAAAATAAAAAAAAAGGTAAAATGATGTAAGTACTGAAATGAAAATAATATCTACACGCTACGCCAACATGAACACGGAATTTCACCATTGAAATGGAAAACAAGCTGAAAGCTAAAGAACATATACTAATGTAGCCTACATTTAAAATATGTTGTATGATTTCGTTGTCGCGTTTTAAAAGACAAGCCAAATATCTACTACAACTAACGTGAATTGTAAACGCTGTGTGGAAATTTTTTGAAAGAATTATTTTACACGTCAACATAACAGTTTAAATATTCATTTAACCATATGAACCGACGTTACCTAAGTATAAATATCTATACCAATTAGGTATAATTCTAATAAATAGTCTAGGTACTTACCTACCTATTATACATAGGTAAATACATCACAACTAGATTTTTTGGTATAGGGCGGCAAAGGAGTAGACTCTGATGGTACTTAATCGGCGCCGCTTATGCATGACGCTCCAACACCGAATTACGTTAAAAACTACATGTGCTTTGCCGACCTTTTGAGGCTTAGGATTTTTGGTTATTGAAATGGAGGGACATTGGGCTTGGGCTTTCGCGCACCTCACTTCATCATCACTGCTGAACATAGGCCTCCCCCATTGACTTCCAGATAGGCCGGTTGGAAGCGACCTGCATCCAGCGGCTTCCTGCGACCTTAATTAGGTCGTCTGTCCACCTTGCGGGTGGACGTCCTACGCTGCGCTTACCGGTACGACGCGACGTGGCCTCCACTCGAGAACCTTTCTGCCCCAGCGGCCGTCGGTCCTACGCGCAATGTGCCCTGCCCGTTGCCACTTCAACTTACTAATCCGCTGGGCTATGTCGGAAACCTTTGTTCGTTTGCGGACATCCACGTTTTTTATTCGGTCTCGCAAAGAAACTCACACCTCACTTATAATTTATAAATTACTAGCTTTTGCCCGCAACTCCATTCGCGTGGAATAGTGACTTCCTGCATATTTTTGGTATAAAAACTAATCCTATGTTCTTTCTCTAGTTCCAAACTATGTCTGTACCAAATTTCATACAAATAGGTTCAGTAGTTTAGGCGTGAAGAAAACACAGACAGACCAACAAACAGAATTACTTTCGCATTTATAATTTTAGTTTGGATTGGGTAACTTATCTCCTAAGTAAAAAAAAAATATTTGGCTTTTCAAACACTATTTTTAAAATACTAGCGACCTGCCCTAGCTTCGCACGGGTGCAATGCTGACGCTAATGTTTTCCAGTTGGATGGATGGTTTTATATTACACACAACCTTCCTCTTCAATCACATATACCTTCTGGATACATAATACGGATACAGGGACAGAGAAAGATTTTTTGTTTTATACTATGCAGTGATAAACACACTTCTATCATCGATATATCGATATACATACTTAGTTTTAGGTACATTTTCTCTTAAATTTTCTTGGGCCAATCCACGTAGCCGCAAATATAGCATTTATTACAAGAGCCAGAAGGTACTGGAATAATTGCTTCGGGCCGACGCAAAGCAGTTTTATCTACATTTCCATAGATACTTTAGGTACCTATATTAAGTTCGGAACTCGTAAACAGAATTTCATCGATCACTAATAAAGAACAAAATATATTCTTTATTAGTGATCGATGCAGAATTTACTAAAAAGCGCGCGCTTGATTAAACCGCCTCTGTCATCAAGTGACTGTGGCACAACTGGATTATCTTTAATGAACTTACAGGAGGGTTTGAGAATGAGATCACAGTTGTAAAATACATCATCGGTTGTAAAGGTAAGATTGAGCTAAAAATACAGTCTCATTTGTAATCGTACTTACCGTCATACAAGAAATGTCCTTAGTGGCTTGATAGGAGTAGATATGCTAAAAATAAGGTTTGATTGCATCTCAATTTTTCGGTGCTTTTTTATCAGAGGAAAATCATTAAATGACTTCTGTCGCCCAGTGTGAGGAGAGGGCGTGTCTTACTGACTAAAACTGCCCCGTTCCTTCTCCTCGTCCTGCCCCTGGCCTGAGCTGAGCATCAGGTCTTTTAGGCTCATCTGTGGCCAACAGGCTCAATGAGGCGCGCGGAAAGCTACGCGCTGTACGCTCGGGTCATTTTTGGCGCAGATCTGGTTTTTCTCCTTATAAGTATTACGAAACTCTAGAAATAGCGGACGAATAAGGAGTACTACGGGAGTGCCTATTACTGTCTGGCCTTTCGAAGAATAAAAAGGTCTACCGAAAAGAGTACCTACCCATTTAGTTTTATCCATTGTTACATTCTGCATTTTACTCTAATTAAAAATGAGTTAAGTTCCTAGTCAAACACATAATAATTGCGTCAAATTAATATTCTATGAAAGCGATAAGATAAGTTCGTGTGTTATAAATCGGATCACGCTATGTGGTTATCAAGCAATGATTCACACATTGTCAAACGTTAAACTTTTCGTAGCGGCACTTTTATTTGGGAGGCCAGCGGACCTATGACCTTATTTTGTGGAAACATACCTACTAACTATGTCATGGAACTTTTATGAGGAAAATACAACTCATATATATTATATTATCTTTTATTTTACGTTTTATTTCGTATCGCTTTGTTTTATTGTTTACACATTAAACGCCGCGCCATTTCCAATTTGTTAGAAGTCAAACGCTAACGAATGATCTACCTTTTATTTTTCGACACAGTTATAGGCTTATGATTTTTTGCTTTCCTTATCTAGAACAGACTTAAGTGGCTAATTAAAACAGAAAATACAGGCTCCATCATCAGCATCAGACAAAGGACGTCCATTACTTATTTCTCTGTACCTATTTTTACGCAAGCTGACAGTTTTTGCTTGGAAGTGGCAATTTATTATATTATTTAATGATATTCCTTATTTGTAATTATAATAGATCCCTTCTCAGTTGGCACTACATATTATAGTAATACATATTTCATTCATTACTGACTAGTGTGCACAAAATTATTACGATTAAC